TTGATTAGCTTTGTATGTCTATATGTGTTTTCATGAGAAACTATGTTGTTGCCACTTTCTGAAGCAGTTCTAGAAATCTTCTTTTGTGAGTGTATGAGATACGACGAAAAAACATACTGAATGCTACGGCCAGGTGCCATGCAACAGAAAGACTTGTAAAAACATCACGGTGTGTCCTTATCCACTTTAGTCATCAGGTCTGGCACTGTGAAGTCTCTGGCTCTTCTGAAACGTCAAAAAGACCAGGAAAGGGAAATGTTTTAAATCAGTTCGGGACCTCAAGGCAGTCACAACAGCATAAAGACATTCACAAAAGAGGACTTCCAGAGCGCTTCACGAAGTGGCAAGAATGCTGGGATTATGTGTGCTCAAGCTGGGGGGCTTTAAGTGGGGTGATAAATGGCAGTGTGTCTTTCCTTGAAATTTTTAAACCTACAATGACTTGCGATCTGAAAAAACTTCCTTGGAACTCATAGTGCATTCACTGTATTTTACTTTAACATAATTGAAAAGTATAAGCACTGAGGTGGTTTTCAAATTATGTCTAAACAGAAGTGGGGCAAATAGAGGTGAGAATCCTTGGCAAGTTATTTGTACATAAGTACTATTACATCTTTACTTCAAAGAGAGTGGGAATTGCCAGTAAACACAAATCTCTACCAAAAAAAATTTTTTTAAATCCACTTTTTTATCTAACCTCACATACCAGGTAGGTTGTAAAACAGCCAACAATACATTTGTTCATTTAGCAAATAATTACTGAGCAAAACCATGGAAATAATCAAGATGAGCAAGATCTATCTTTATGGAGGTCCCATTCTAGCACGGAATGAAGACATTGAACAAAAGGAAAAACAAGCCCAAGTAGGAAGAGAACTAGAGCATTATAAAGGCATAAGCACACAATCATCGTAGCAGCCAATAGGGTTCTTACCTAGTTGGGAACCAGAAAACAGCTAAGGATATGACTGCTACCCAGACAGACAGGAGGCTGGGGAAGACAGAAGAGGGAGAAAGGGTCAAGAAGAAAAGAATGGCTGGGGATATAGCTCAGTGGCACAAGCACCTGCCTGGCAAGTACAAGGTCCTGAGTTCGATTCCTAGCACCAAAAAAAAAAAAAAAAGAATGTTTTCTTGGGAGCAGGAGCCACCCCAGAGTCAGGCAGGGAATTGCTGATGTGTTCAGCTCTGGCTTCTGAGGGTAGAGCTGAGCTGCTCTTGGGATGGGGTGTGGAGAAGGCCATTCTTTAGTTACTCTTTCTACGTATTACCTCAGGCCTGACCAAGCCATGATTGTTGGGTTCCAGAGGAAGTGTAGCAAAAGCATTGGTGGTAAGGAAAAGATTGCAGAACCTGTGTCCTTGTGGAAAGCCACGAGATCAACATTAAATGCTTTGCTGAGATATGCCAGAAGGAATAACATGATGGCTAACTAGTCAAGTTTTTTGTTGTTGTTTTTTTCCCCCAGTACAGGGGATCAAACTCATGACCTTGTGCTTGCCGGGTAGGTGCTGTGCCACTGAGCTAAATCCTCAGCCCCTAGTCAAGTCTTATTTATGTGATAATTGAGTTATATTGTCCTTGCTAAATTGGTTGATATCCTTCTATTTGCACTGCTGCTTCCTTTGTTCTTTCTCAATAGTTACCAAAATTGGTAATCAGGGCTGCAGTCCAAGAGGCTGTATGCCCCCTGACCCTAGAATTATGCCTCTCTTGTTTTTCTTTTTTCTCTTACTTTTCTATTCATCCGCGGGTACCTTGTCCTCGGACCAGTTCACCCTGGACAGAAATGGATTATTAATACAACAATGGGGGACTCCTGGGCAGTGTTTCTGAAAGGGTTAGACTTGTGTCTTTTAGAAGTGAGTAACAAAGAATGTAGAAGTGTTGCACTCTGGAGGCCAGCCGTGGGTAGGTGGGAGAGAAGCCGAGTCCAGGATAACGCTGCTCCAGTCTCCACAGCAACCAGTACGATGCTCTGGGAAGGGTCAGCCTCCTCTCGGACCTTGGTTCTCAGCTCCCCACCTCTCAGCCTCCATGTGGATTTTTCCTACTGGCACACAAACATCCTCTTGTCCTTGTGACATCTCTGGTCCACTTTTTAGCAAGGCTTCTCAAATACACATCTGTTCACTGCTTCCACTCCCTCAACTTCAGTAATGTCAAATTCGCAGGTCTCAATCCTGGCTCTGCCAGTGATTGCCAGCTGCCTGATCTTGGGGAATAATTCGCCCCTCTGTGCCTCAGTTTCCACCATCTCTAAAGTCGGGGCAATCATAGGCTTGCCTCTTCTGGAAAACGAACATAGAAGTACCCGCCTGCTGAGTGCCCGTTAATGAAGTTACCTGCGGAAGGGATTCTGAGCAGGGAGGAAATGATTTAGCAAGCACTGCCTATCAGAACAACCTTCTACCCTGGAACTTCTGACCCACAGAAACTGGTCTACCTAAGGTCATGAAGGGAGTCCCTCTCGCTTAAACCATTAGTCATCTCACTGTGCTCAATGACTCAGCCCCTTCAAAGCATGTGATAAGGCCGAGCAATCTTCCTGCTTCAAACATGTGCCTCTCCCAGGCCTCCACATCCTTCCAGCTGCCCTCCTCCCCTTCAAGTTGTTCTTCGATCTTCTTTGCTGGAGGGTCTTCTTCATGTAAGGCTGTCCCCGGACCAAATAATCCTTTTTTCTTTTCTCACTCCAGGACAGGGCATCTTAACCTCATTGCCACTAACATTTGGGGTCAGATAACTTGTTTGCAACATGATTACCAGCATCCCTGGCCTCCCGCAGTCCAGGCCAGTGGCAATCCTCCTTTAGCTGTAACAATGGCCACACATTGCCATGTGCCCCCTAGAAGGAGGGGGGCAATAGTGTCTCCAGTTGAAAACCACCACTCTAAAACCCAGGGTCTCTGTGATTTCCCCAGCCTTGGATACCACTTACATACCAACACCTCGCACATCTTCTGTCATCTTGACTTCCCCTCTGCAGACTCTACCTGGGTGCCTCACGGTCATCTAAATATAACATGGCAAAACCAGGACTTCTAATGTCCACATCTCCAATCCTTGTTCATCTTTTAGCCTTTTCAGTCTCAACAAACAGCACCGTTAGTTGCCCAACTGCCGCAGCCTGGTTGCCAGGTTCCTCTTTCTTTACCCTTTCCCATCCTCCCTACAAGCTCTACCTCCCAAACGGATTCCATGTCCCCGCCGCTTCCCTCCCTCTCCGGAGCTACCATCCTAGTCCGAGATACTATGCTCTTGCTCCTGAGGCTGCATTACTGCCCAGCGGGACCTTCTAGCTTCCTGCTTCCTCCCTACACTGTGATCTCCCCACGGCAGCCAGGGTGATCTTTTTAAACTACAAGGGTCTTTGTCTCCACCTCACTTGCAGACTTCTGAAATCACAGGGCTCATTTGTGTGCTGTCAGCCTCCCCCCACGAGGATGCATGATTAATGAGAGTAGGCTCTACATGTCCCATCCACTGCTGTATCCTCACCCAGAGCCCAGGATTTACTGCAGCAAGGTAGTGTTCAATAAAACATGTGGAACTAATGCACTGTTCGCTGCCATTACCACCTTTGCGGATGGGCACGTAGTCCTGGTTTTCCATGTGGCGATTCCTGGGAGGACCTCCTCCCTTCCTCCTCTGACAGCCCTGGGCCCACTTTGGGGGTGGTGAACAAAGGAGAGAGGATGGACTGCAGCGTCACTAAGACAGCCTAAAAGCTGGCCCCTAACCCGCCTGGCTTAGGGCTTGAAGCCCATCTTTGCTCCCTCTTTTTCCCCCACTGCATTTCCTCAATGAGCAGCCAAGGGACTATCTCTGAGTACCCAAGTAAAAACCAGCCCCAGGGCTCGAACCCTACAGGTCTCTCTCCTTTTCAAAGGAGGCACTCTCTGGTCAAGCAGCAACTGCCCTTCACGTGTGGTCAGAGTGTTGGGGCAGCCCCCAAACCGAACAGCATGATTCCAGGAGAGGGTGAGCTGAGCTCAGGGGCACTGTAAGCCTCGCTGGGTTGAACACCAAGCCCTAGTCAGTATCACTGTCAGCACTCCAAACTCTGAGAAATTTAAATATTCTCAGCCTTCCCATTTGGGCCTTCAAAATACTCTGGTGCTGTGTTTTTACACAAAACATTAAACTAATCGCGGTGACCTTTTGCCAGAATTATTTACCTTCATGGTTTCCAACAGCAAGTTTAATACCTTCATTGATTTTTCCATATTTCACAATTAACCAGTCCCAACTTTTTGCTACTTTCAATTTTGATGAACAAATTTATTTTTCCCAAGATCAAGTTTTTCTCATGTGAATTAAAAAAAAAAAAAAAAAAAAAAGTGGCTTCCTTAATTACAGGAGTGCATCTGGACCTTGTCGCAGTCCAGAGGAGTATAATATTATAAACTGTAATCTCAGGGAAAAATTATTGGAATTCTAACAAGTAAATTCCAATCTGCCACTTCCAATGCAACCCACAGGAAGAATAAAGAAACAGAGACACAGCTGCCATTGTGTGGAGCCGAAGGAGTCCTAAGTCCAGTCAGAACAAAGGCTGCCTGGAACAAAGGCCATGACCCAGGGCTGAACCCGGGTTTTATTAATTTGTGAAGAGGGCAGTGGCTCGGGGTTGAGTGACTGTGAGGGATGGGGGGAACTATGTGAGTGCTGTGAGCTGGGCTAGGTTGCAGACACAGTGGCACCTCTGCAATAGGCAGAGAGAGGCATGCAGAAAGAGTACCGGATTCCGGGTAACAGCCTTTGGAGGAATCTGCATAACACAGTTTGAAGAAGTACCTTGTTTCAGGTCGCTGCTTCAGCTCTGAGGTCTGGCTTTCCTTGCCCTGGGACTTCACAGGGCCTCTTTTCGGAGGCTCAATCCCAGCCTACAGTGCTGTGTCTCTCTCTGGCCTAGCACATGCTTAGGAGTAGGGAGCTACAGGCGAGGCATCACAGACCTGTCCCATTGCTTCAAAGGCTACACGTCAACTCCTCAGCTAGGTCCATTTGCACTGCTTAAAGCCAGTCGAGGGGGTAGAGTATTATCCAAGCCAGCTCTGTACATCTCAGTACACTTGGAAGTAGGGCAAAGGTGAATCACAATGGAGGCAAATTGTCTTCTTTCAGGGAGAGCCATCCACGTGGTCCTCCCCTCTTAATCTATTTTTCTCGTATCAATTTTTCTGAATATAGTCTCTGCCACTGTGAGTTTCATTGGTATTACTGGAAATAATATCAAATCTCATTTTCCTGGTGACCTAGCCAAAAAAGCAAAGTCAAAATGGCAAATTCAAGACGTCCCCCTTTATGCTGGTGTCTCAGCACGGTGTAGCTCTCTTTAGTTTTCCAGGGCTGTTGGCGCAATCGTTCTTACATGGGAGGTGGCTGGAGGGGGAGCTGGTTGTAAGAAACATCTCTTGTATATCCAGCTTGATGGAGTGAGAGAAAGATGTCTCTTCTATGAACAGATCCCTCTGAGGAATCTACACAGCTTTCTGGATGACAAGCAATGGCATTCCTTCCATCCAGACAGTTGAGGGTCAGCCCAGGGCTTGTGCCTGCACACTGGACACCCTCTACAGCACACTGGACAGCCTCTATAGGATAACCTAACTGGCCTTCGTTCCAGAGGCCTGTGGGTGGCCCTTTTCCAGACCACAACAGTCCAGAAGCAACTGGGCTGTCACTCACGTCCAACGACAGCACATACTACATTTGGAGTTAACAGTCCACTGAAAGATTCTCTGTTAGGGTTGCTACAGCCGAAGGGGGAGCCAGGCAGATGGAGCACTTCTGCCCGCCTCCCTGGGTCTGATCATGCCCGGGGCCTGCCATTCTGACAAGAGGCAGGGCCTGACCTTGGGCTCCTCACAGGAGCTCTGGGACACTGAGCATTTGGCCCAGGGCTCAACCATTAAGCAGCCCAGCCCCAGACAGTCCCTCTGGACACAGCTGACAGGTATTTGTTTCTTGTGGAAAAGACATCAC